AACTCAGAAAAAAAAAAAAAAAAAAAAGAAATTGTTTATCTTTGAGAACATTAAAGATTGAGTTCTAATTCCTTTTGGCCTATAGTGTTTCTGCAGATAAGTCTGTAGCAATTCTGATTGGGTTCCCCTGGTAGGTAGTCTGACCTTTTTCCCTTGCTGTCTTTAGAATTTTTCTTTTATACCTACTTTGTGCAGACAAATTATTATTAGGGGTTGGTTTTCTCATAAGATGTCTTGCAGGGGTTCTCTGAATCTCTTATGTTTATATAATCATCTCTCTGACCAGATGAGGGAAGTTTTCTTGTCCCTCTTGTGACAGGTTCTGTGACTGCAGGTCTGTTACTGCAGGTGCCCTCTTCACTGTTGGAACTTAAGCTGTTAGAGTCTTGACCCTCGGCTGCCTGCAATTGGTAGCCAGTGCATGCCTGTGTGAGGGAAAGGGGCTGAAATAATTTGATACTGCATGTCTCACAATCTTACCCCCTTCCTTCCTCTCCCAGCATGGTCAGAGCTCCAGGGCATCCAGTTCACAGCAGGGTAATGGGACCTCCTGTCTCTGCCCTGCCTCCTGATCTCTTTTGTTTGTTGCTAGGGGAATGGGGGGAGTCAGCTAGGCACTCACCAGTCTCCTTCTCAATTAATTCCGCTGTCTACATCTATCGCCCAGCAACTGGCTCAGGGTAAAGGGTGGGATCATCTGGGGTTCTGCATCTGCCATTACCCAGGCAGTGTTCTCAGTGCAGCACAGAGATCAGCGCCTGGTCTCAAGATGCAGTTCTGCTGTTCCACAAAGGCTGCCCTAGAGCACTTCTCTGTTTAGGGATTAGATATTCTGTTCAGTTTCTCTGCTGACTGTGTTCCTGCCAGAAATGGGGTTGATAACTCCCTCCTCAGCAGTTTAGCATGGCTCTGGAGCCCAGTGCAGGCTTGGGGTGGTCTCTCCCCTCTGCTTCCTCTGGACTCTGCCTCAGGCTCCCTAGCTGCAATCCCTGCGTGACCCTCACTGCCAGTGTTCAGCCTGGTGCTCTGGTGGTGGAGTCAGCAATCACTCCAGCAGTTCTTCCCAGGAAAAGCTCTGCTGATTTTAGAAAATGGCATGCAACTTCACTTTGGGAAGCGCTAGGGTCCAAGCAGAGCAGCTGTGGCACCAGCGGCTTCACCAGAAGGGCCCCGGCCACATGCTCTTGAGTCCCCACTCAGCCTCTCACACTCCCACTTACACACAGAAACACATGCAGAACCGTCCATACAATCACTCAGACAGGAACTTGCACGGTCCCACTGGCTACGCCACCATCAGTTCCCCCATTTTAATTCTTCCTTTTCAATCTGAATGCTTTATATTCCTTTCTCTTGCTTAATTGCCCTAGCTAGAACCTCCAGTACAATGCTGAATAGAAGTGGCAAGAATGGACATCATTGTCTTATTCCTGATCTTTGGGAGATCTTGAGGAGTCTTTCACAATTAAGTATGAGGTTAGCTGTAAGTTTTTCATAAATGCTCTTTATCAAGTTGACAAAGTTCCCTTCTTTTTGTTTGTTGAGTTCTTTTATCATTGAAAGGTGTTGAATTTTGTCCATTCTTTTACATCTCTTGAAATGATGGTTTTTGTTCTTCATCTTATTATGATGTATTATAATAGATTTTCAGATATTCAACCAACCTTTTGTTTCTGAAATAAATCCCATTGTATCATGGTGTATAATCCTTTTTATATATTACTGGATTCATCCTGCTAGTATTTTATTGAAGATTTTTTTAATGTTTATATAAGAGACATTGATCTGCTTTTTTTTTTTCCTATTATGTCTTTGTTTGGTTTTGATGCCAGGGTAACACTAGCCTCATAGAATGAGTTAAGAAGTGTTTCCTCCTCTTCTGTTTTGGAAAGAGTTTGTAAAAATTTTGTATTAATTTTTCAAGAAATATTTGGTAGAATTCATCTCTGAAGCCACCTGGGCTTTTCTCTGTGCAAAGTTTTAAAATTACTGATTCAGTCTCTATTCTTCTTGTAACTCTATTCAGATTTTGAAAATTTCTTCCTGAGTCTTGTTTGGAGGTTTCTGTCTTCCCAGGAATTTGTCCATTTCATCTAAATGACTGAATTTATTGACATACTCTTGTTCCTAGTTTTCACTTAAGATCCTTTTCAGTTTTTTAAGGTTAGTGGTGATGTCTCCTCTTTTATTCCTGATTTTAGTAATTTGAGTCTCTTCTCTCTCTCTCTCTCTCTCTCTCTCTCTCTCGTCATTCTACATAAAGATTTGTTAATCTTATTGATCTTTCCAAATAACTAATTTTTGGTTTCATTGATTAACTGTTCTCTGTTTATTTTTTTCACTCTAATACTTATTTCTTGCCCACTGTTAGCTTTGGATATAATGTGTTCTTCTTTTTTCCAGATCTATAAGGTAGAAAGTTAAGGTGTCTCAGCTTGGGTTGCCATAACAAAATACCATAGACTTGGTGGCTTAAGTCACAGAAATTTATCCTCTCATATTTCTGAAGGCTAAAAGTCCAAGATCAGGGTGCCAGCATGATCAGGTTCTGATGAGGGCCTTCTTCCTGGCTTGCAGAAATCATCTTCTCCCTGTGTGCCCACATGGTGGGGAAAAAGAGAGCTAGCTCTCTGGTGTTCTTTTTTTAATTTTTAATTTGAAAGATGTGGGGTACAGTTCAGGGTTAGGTATTCAAATGGTCATTGTACAGGTAAAGTTTGGGTCTCTCTTTGGTCCCCACTTCACCTGGTTTGAGATCAGGTACCCTTATTGAAGAAGTGTGCCCCCCTGGGTGCCTTTTTAAAATCAATACATAATATTTGTACATATTTTTAGGATACGTGTGATATTTTGTTATATGCATAGACTGTGTAATGATCAGTCAGGGTACTTGGGATGTCTATTGCCTTGAGTATTTATCATTTCTATGTGTTGGGAGCATTTCAAGTCCTCTCTTTTAGCTATTTTAAAATATATGATACACTTTTGTTTACTTTAGTCATCCTATTCTGCTATTGAACCTTAGAACTTATTGGTTCTATGTAACTGTATATCTACCATTTATCTACCTCTCTTTATCCCCACCCCCACCAACATACCCTTCCCAGCCTCTGGTCTCTATCACTGTTTTGTTTTTTGTTTTTTTTACCTCCGTGAGATCAACTGTTTTCGCTCCTACATGTGAGTGTGGTTAGCAGAATTGTTTTCTTTCAGCACTTCAAATATATCATCCCTGTCCTATAAGGTTTCTGCTGAGAAATCTGCCTTCAGTACGATGGGGGTTCCCTTGTAAGTGACTAGATACTTTTGCTGGTTTTAGGATTCTCTCTTTCTTTGACTTTTGACAGTTTTATTGTAATGTGTTGTGGAGATCTTTTTGGTTGTATCTTTTTGGGATTTCTGAGCTTCCTGTATCTGGATGTCTAAATCTCTTGCTCGAGTTGGGAAGTTTTTAGCTATTATTTTGTTAAATAGATTTTCTAACCCTTTCATTTTCTCTTTGATTTTTAGGATGCTAAAATTTAAATACCTGGTCACTTTATTGTGTTCCATATGTTACATAGACTTTATTTTTTTAAATTCTTGTTTCGTTATTTTTTTCTGACTGGATTATTTCAAAATACCTGTTATTTACATTCTGAAATTGTTTTTCTGCTTGATCTCATCTATTGTTGAAGCCCTCGAATGTATTTTTTAATTTCACTCAATGAAATCTACAGTTCCAGGATGTCTTTTGGTTCTTCATGGTATCTATTTCTGGTAAATTTCTCAATCATATTCTGAATGTTTTTCTGGTTTCTTTGTATTGTTTGTCTGTGTTCTCTTATGTCTCACTGAGTTCTTTAAAGTCAATATTTTGAATTATTTTTCTAGCATTTTATAATATTTCTTTTTCATTGGAATTTGTTGCTGGAGAATTATTGTGTTTCTTAGGAGGTATCCCACTTCCATACTTTTTCAAGCTTCTTGTGTTCTTATGTTGATATTTGTATACCTAGTGCAATTGTCACTTCTAGTTTTTAGATTTGCTTTCATAGGCAAGAACTTTTTCCTGAAAATGTTTCTGTGGTATTGGTTGGATAGGGCAATTGGACTTTGATTCTGAGTGTGTGCAGTAGTATAGTCTCTATAATTTCTTCAGCTGTAAACAGCATCAGTGGTATCTATATTTTCCTCAGTTGCTTTAGGTGAAGTTAGTGGAGATTGTGGTGTGGTTTTGCTGGGCATAAGGACTCCAGATGGGCCAGTCCTCGTTTTCCAATGGTGTCACTAGAGGGCTGACCATGTCTATCCTTGGGCTCTAGGGTGGCATACACTGGTACCAGTGTTAGCAGGTCCAGACTGGCCAATTCCTGAGCCTCAAAGACTGATTTCTCAGGTACCAGCAGTCACAGCAGTAGGATGGGTGAACAAGTGGGTCCTCTGGCCACTGGAAAGCAGGCATGGCATGGGCAATGGCAATGGCAATAGCAGTGGCAGCAACCTTCTGGCTTCTAAACTGTTCATGCTGATGTTGGCAGTGGCTATAACTGTCTGGGAAAGTTGGTCTCCGAGCCTGCAGGTGGCGCATACGGATGAGTATCAGCTGTGGTGGTAGCAGCAGACTGTGAGGGCACATCCTCAGTCCCTCAGGAATAGTACTCAAGGACCAACGTTGGTGGACAGGGCAGGGCAATCCCCAGGCACCCAGACTGCATGCTCAGGGGCTGCAGGGGACAGAGACAAGCTGGATGAGCCTGCACTCAGAACCCCAAGTGATGTGCTTAGGCATTGGATATGTTAGGAAGGGGTAGGGTGATCCCTAGGCCCCCAGCAAGATTATTTATTTTATTTTATTTTATTATGTACACATATACTTAAAGGCATTAGCCCCTCTGTAGTAAATATGAGCTGTCAAGAATTCAAGCTGTAATTAAAATTAGACTTGAATTAAAACAAAGATGAAAACAACAGGTACATAATGTAAAACTTGATCTTTTCTGTTTTTCCATTATTTTCAGATCTGGTAGCTCAGCGGGGAGAAAGATTGGAATTATTGATAGACAAAACAGAAAATCTTGTGGATTCTGTAAGTATGGAATATGATAATATTTTTCAGGATACAAAGTAGAGGAACTACGTATGATGACTAACATAATAGCGAAATGCTTTAAATTAGTGGGTTTGTTTATGCTCTTTAGTGGGTTTGTTTTCTTTTCTCATCTCCATGATGTTATTACATTGTGATAATGGGTATAACAATGAGACATAGAAAAAATATAGCCATGATTCATTAATAACCATTAAGGTAGCTTTGGTTGAGAGGCATACGCAGTATTCAGAAATTATTTTCTTAAGCTTTGGATTGATACCTACATAATTTAGTACCTCACCTGCTTGTTCCAGTCTATTCTCTGTACAAATTTGTAAAACATGAAACAAATAAATGTGCAGACCAGTTGTGACCCAATATGCATTCTGAAAACTAGAGAGTTCACTTCCTTGATTACACTGATGGCTTGGTCTTTGTATCAAGTAAGAGTCATTGATTAGAAAGGACCAATACACCTTAAAGAGACAGTGAGTGTGTCCCTGTGAGCTACTTTACTCAACAGTTCTGTTTGTCTTCACATTTTCTATGTGGTTAGTGGATGAAAGTTTTGAGGAAAGATGGTACATATATGGTGAATAAAAGGAAGGCAGAGATCAGTTAAAATTTAGGTCTACACGGTTATACATTTAAATTCAGAGTAGAAGTTTACACCTTGAAAAATATCAAGGATTGATCATGTTCATTGTGACCGACAGCTAGATTGCAGTGGTTTAGAGCAAAAGCTCTAGAATTAAATTGTCTGGACTTGAAATCCCACCTCTTCCACTTACTAGTTGTGTGACCATAGACAACTTACTTAACGTCTTTGTGCCTCAGTTGTCATCTGTAAAATGGAGTTGTATCTACTTCATAGCATTTTGAGTATTATCTCAGATAATGCATGTCAAGTACCTAATACAGTATCTATTATATAGTAAGAGCTATTTAAATGTTTATTATTGTTGTTAATTATAGGAACATCTATTAACAGCAGGTCTTAGGAGGATTACAGACTACTATTGAGTTTTCTAGCAGTTTGTAAACAGTTTTTTCAACAAAGCATGTGGTACTTGGAGGAAGTATGGCACCATACAGGAAGTCAGAGCACCTGGATTCTAGACCTCACTTTGTGACCCATTGCTAGGAGGCAAAGAAGTATCTGATTCCAGATCTTCACACCAATTTCTTTGATAATAAAAAAAAAAAGAAAGAAATTAGGTAGTGTAAGTCCTCCAACTATGTTCTTCCCCAATATTGTCAAGGATCTCTTTTAGATCCTTTGCATTTCCATTTATGTTTTTGAATAAGCTTCTTTTTTATCCCTCAAAAATAAAACAGCAGCTTGTATTTTTGTAACTGCATTTAACATATAGGTCCCTTTAGGAGCGTTGGTATCTTGATAGTATTGAGTTTTCATATCCATGAATATAGCATATTTTTGCTTTAGCTTAGGGTTTTTAGAATATTTCTCAGCAGTGTTTATTAGTTTTTGGTGTACAGGTATTGTTTGTATTTTGTTAAGTTTGCCCTTGATAATTTTATGCTTTTGTATTCTATTGTAAATTTTAAAATTTCATTTTCTAATTCTTTATTACCAGCATATAGAAATAAAATTGGTTATTGTATATTGATCTTGTTTATATCTTGCAACTTTGCAAAATTCACATATTAGTACTGGTTGCTTTTTTGTAGATTCCTGGATTTTATTTCCTTTTCTTGCCTTATTGCACTGCCCAAAACCTTCTACACAATATTTTTTTTTATAAAGATGTGGGGTACAATGCAGGGTTAGGTATACAAACATTGATTATGAAGGTACCCTTGTTGATGAGGTATGCCCCTCCCACCCCTAGCAATTTTCCTCAACTGCCAATCCCATACCCCCTCCCCTGACAGTTTCCCACTGGGGATTCCCAGTTTGCCAAGCCAATCTCTTTCTTATAGTATTATAATAATTGTTCGAGGTCCGCTTATGAGTGAAAACATGTGGTATTCTGTTCTTTGTTTCTGTGATAAATCACTGAGTATGATCAACTCTAAATCCATCCAAGTTGCTGCAAAGTCCATATGTTTGTCCTTCTTTATGGCTGCATAATATTCCATTGTATATATGTACCACATTTTTTAATCCAGTTCAACTTCGATGGGCAACATGGTTGGTTCCACGTTTTTGCTATTGTGAATAGAGCTGCAACAAACATACATGTGCAGGTATCTTTTTTGTAGAATGTTTTG